ATAACAGCTGTGACTCAACAAAATATGGGACAACATTAGGTGTGGTGGTGTAACTGCCGATACAGGCGAGAAAAAGAAACTGGGTCAGGGAAGCTATACCCTGCTACTATATACGAGATCTCCCCCTTTAATATCGCCGAGCCGTGAATTTGTGGCCTCTCAGCGGGGGACCCGTGCTGTTGTGGCTGTGCTCAGTAGCCAAGCCAACCAGGGCCAACACAACCACCCTCAAACCAAAGCCATGTCTGAACTGATTGAAACAGGCGTGTCAGTTATTGAGATTTTGTAGGTTGTAAATGGCTTTGGAGATCACTTTTTGCTCTCACTCTGTGTTGAGTTACTGATAATACAAACAATTCCTGCTGCTACACATCAAAAGCTGTCTCCAAGCAAACCAGTGGGAGCTCTTATTGTGAAGCAGCCATATAATATGCAACCTACTTAGCAGTTAGCAGTGCTATTCTTAAGAAAGTACGATTAAGATATGGATGTATTCTCATTTCAGGAAGTCAAGTGAAGGGACTGCATGGTCTGAAAGGAAGGTAAGATAAATGTCACACTTTTGTTTAAACAGAAATAACTTGACAAAGAATATATGTGCATGTGTATGAACCTCTGAAGACATATCTAACATATATACACACAGAAACACACACACAGAAACACACACACACACACACACACACACACACACACACACACACACACACACACACACACACACACACACACACACACACACACACACATATGTGTTTCAAGGCAACGGTGTGCAGTTAGGTTACTTTTCAAAGTAGTATAGTTCTCAATGACAGACTTTTATTGTGGTGTAAAATAAAGGTCAATGTTGGTCAATGTTTTTTATGAACATATCCACTGATATTCACAGCCAAAGGACACGGACACATTCTATGGGCTAAAGAAGCCCAAGCCAACAGTTTGGATCAATACAGTGACTAAGACTGTGCTTGCTACACAATACAAATGTTCTGAACAGATACGGTATAAAAACAAATAAAAAGAGTGTTTATTTTTTTGTTATTATTATATGTATTTCACTCAAATGCTCTCTCTAAATGTTCAGCATCCTTCGGATTATTCAAGTATCCCCACAGTGCACACTGCTTTATTTATAATATAATGTGCGCTCAAACTTATCCAAATAGCTGGATGTCACGTTACACAGAATCTACCCTTTCACTGGACAATCCTGCTTTTTCTGTCCTCTATTTTGGGAGCCCCATGTTTCCAAAACAGCGGTCTCAATTAAATGAAAGAGGAGGTTGTGTTTTTCATGCAGCACTAATGACGGTCTGACCATGGCCTTACACACAGTCATCTAAACATACACATGCATGTTTAACCTTGTCATTGAACAGAAGGTCTCCATTCATCCTTCACATGTGACATAGACAGCTAAAACTGATATGTTCTCTATCAGGACTGAAACTGTCAAGGTGCTCTCATGAAGCATTAACTTCTTCTCATGAAATAACTTAATAAACATTGAAAAGCGTGTGTGTGTGTGTGTGTGTGTGTGTGTGTGTGTGTGTGTGTGTGTGTGTGTGTGTGTGTGTGTGTGTGTGTGTTCTGGCACTTACAGTCCCCCCTATTGATTGATGTCTCATATCAGTGAGGTGAGACCAACCCTAGATACGTATGACATCTAATTTAGGGAAACATCAGCCCCACTTCTCTTCATTTATCTCTCTCTTCCATGTGATACGCGTGTGTGTGTACATGTATGAATTCCCCACATGTTTTTCTGTCTGTATTGTCTGCCCCCCCCTCTGCCTGTGTGTGTATGGGTGTATGGCAGCATTTTGTCAAATCAAAAAAAAAGGTGTCATCTTGAGGACAGTGTGCAGTCTGACCCATCCAAATAACAGATTATCGGGTACACACACACATTCAAACCTGAAAGGTCAATCTGATCTCTTGGCGGCCAACAGCCCACAGCTTTTAAAACACCAGCCACGCCGGTGGTGACTGATGGACTTCAATTTTCTCTCCCCCTGTTCATTTCTCTGCCTCCCAGCAGGAGCCTGAATATTAGGCTTTGAGCAGCCGAGGGGGAAAGAGAGACGGCTGTGTTAGCTGAGGCGGAGCGAAAATAGGCAGGAGAGGTGAAGGAGAGAGGACATATAAACTGTCAGAGGTATAGTTCAATTGTAGAGAGAGACAAATGAGGAGAGGGGGCCAGGAAGGATGAAAAGCAGGGAAGAAAGTGAGGTAATACATGAGTATCACATCCTTTTGAAATGGTTTAAGATGAAGAGCGAGCCTTCAGGGAGTCAGATATGTTTTTATTTTACTATAAAATTTGAGTTCTGGGGTTAAGGAACTATTAAGACTGTAAAAATCTCCTTTTCCGCCCACAAAGATGCTGTCCAGGATTTAATGTGGGTTTAGGGGTGAAAATTCTGATCTCTTCCAGCGACTGACATTTCAGTGTATGGGGGACAAACAGAGCAGTTTGATGCTTGTTTGTGTTTACAGATTGGGATGTTTTCTTCAGCGTCTCCAACCTGTAGTAGGTGAACCAGTACGGTCAGCAATTGCAGAAGCTTTGCAAACAGCCTTCTGTTTGAGTAATCAAACCTGTGGATGGATGACTTGTCCAGAAGAATGTGTTCATCTGAAGGAAGTGCAGGGGTCGGTTTCAGAAAGATATTTTAAGGCTGGTCTGTAGTGTTAAGGCCTGTCTTAATTTGATTAAACAGATGAATCTAATGCAGCAGGTTATACTTATTTTAGGTCCAAAAAGTTCCCCTAGGCTAACCCAGAACAAAGAGCTAAGTTTCTATGGTAACAATCAAAATTTGACTCATAATTTGTGGTCTGCTAACAATTTTGTGGAGTGAATAATGAGAAGGGAAAGAGAACCCTGTTGGAGATATACAGCAGTGAGAACATCATTCAGTCATTTTCATTTGTCCAAAGAAACTAGAAACGATCCTCTGAGTGGTGAGTTAGTAGAAGTACTGCCAGTCCTGCCACATTAAGAAGATACGGTATCTGTGATCTGCTACAGGTCTGAACTGCACTCAGATTTTATGTTACTGGTAAGTTTTTTTATCAGTAAAATGTCCTTTTAACTGTTGAATTCCTCCTAAAGGAAAACATTTTCTGCTGGAGTGAACAGAGCGGTTTGATGCAGTTACTCGGTCGGCCATGTTTTTAATTTTTTGAATAATGTCTTTTTCTAAACTATAATTCATTGCACATCAGTCCTACTTAAGATAGTCAAGAAATAAACAGGTTTGTGCAACAAATGAATTAAGACGTCTATTTGAAGTCTGACTGTTTGAGTATGAGATAAGCCGGTGCACTGTGGTGACAGGAACTCGCTAAAAGTCAGAGGAATGAAGGGGAAAAAAAGTTTTTGGTTGGTTTGTGAACAAATGAGACATGTAATGATCAATTATTTACACAGACACAAAGCAGTTTTGAGTGAGAAGTGATTTGGAACATTGATTTGAATGAGGTGGAGGCTTTGATTATCATGCCAGAAATGGCTGTAATTAGCAAGTGAAAATAGGCCTGATCCTCTATCAATTTCCTACATCAAAATGGACTAATTTCCCCAATACTGAACTCATTTCCTCACTATTATAAATCATTTTTTCAGTGTCAAAAAACCTCAACACATTATTCTGCACAAGGCCTTTAATTCCTAAAGCTGCAAACTAATCACACCAGGAAATTATTTAATTATAGACAGAGATGCTAATGATAGAGTAATAAAAGTTTAAAAAAGAAGACACACAATGTTTTACTGCTCCACAGAAGCAAAACAAGGAATACATCACACAGCGTGAAAGTACATTTTGTAGAATTTTTTTAGTCTTTGGTATTTTATGTTGAATCTAATGTCGAAATTCAGCAGTATGTCTTAAAGAAGGGTGTGTTCTTTCAATGCGCATCAAAATGATACAGAAAATAAGCTTCATTTTGCTTTCTCTTGTCCTGTTTACTAGAAAACTAATATTTTGTGTAGCAGAATAAAAGCAGAAACCGATTTTTTAATATATATAAATTATTTACCTTAGTCAGTTACTCAGGAAAAAGCCTTGTAGACGATCTGTTGTAAAAGCAGTTATTTTTTTCTTTCTACTGCTATTTGGTGCACGGTTTATAAGATATTCTGTGCATAAACTTCTAAATGTCATGTTTAGCTGCCTAAGGAGATTATAATTGAATTTAAATTGAGGATGCATCATGTGCAAGACTTCCCGAAAATAACTGACTACATCACTTTTATTTCCTTTTGCCCACAGCAAGCCAGCATACGCTCCAGTCACTGTGACTCTCAATAAGCGGCTGTATGTGAATTTATTTCTAAATTATTTCTATAAAAAAGCCTGAATCACTAGTTAAAGTATCAAAAGGTGTCCCAATATGTGTTTTTTAGTCTAGTTTATCAAACAACAGCAAGACCTTACATAAGCACTACTGGGTCTTTAGTAACCCCAGACCATATTACACACTTTCTATTTCCCTCATTTAAATTAGTTCGGCCTTAATTTCTTAAGCTATTTGTTATATGTTAACATATGTTACCAGGAATCATGTAATGCTATGAGTGAAAATGGACTGCATCTACAGTATATAAAGCTTTTATCCAAAGTGCTTTACAATTTTGCCTCTTATTCACCCGTTCACACACCGATGGCAGTGAACAACCATGCAACAGACTGGTCAAACCAACTTGCGGTTCCAGTATCTCGCCCAAAGATGTGAACATGAGGAGCCGTGGATCGAACCGCCAACCCTGCTCTACCTGCAGCTGTCACCAGGAGACGTCTTGCTGTGACATGCAACTAACTAATCTAATTACTTTACATCATTTGTAATTTTCAGTTTGAGATAAGACACAGATTAGTTATTAGAGACGCTGTTTCAGGATGCCATCTGAGAGAGAACTCACTGAAATCAAACAGAGAGAAAAAAAAGGTGTAGAGAGACAAACACAGGTAGAGACAGTCGGACAATCTTACCTGATGCAGGGCGGTGAGACCGTCTTCATTGCAGAGGTCTGGACTCACATTGTTCTTCAGCAGGTAGCGTACTGGTAGAAAGAGAGATGGAGAAACACATAAGTGAAGGTGGAAGTCTAAACTATCTAAAAATAACAGAAAAACATTTCTCATTTCCCATTTTTTCTACATCCTTTTGCTTAAAATAAAACTATGTTTCCTCTAACAAATTTAACCAGATTTAGAGACCTCACTTTACTGCATGCACTAATAAAATGCTATTTTGTGGCTGAGAACTGAAAGAATATTTGGTTTAAAGTCACAAGTTGCGAATTCAGAGAAACAGATGTTGCATGGAGATAAGGCTTTCTAGTTATAATCAATATTTCAGAAAGAAGGCTGCTGTAAACAAACAATTGATGCAGGATAAAAGCAAGATGAGATTCCATACAACCCAATTCCTCCTGATTGCTCACACAGCCCGCAGGTGCACCTTAACTTAGCCTTTTGTTACCCAGTGACATCACCAACCAATCAATCTACAATCCATTAATCTTACCGCATCATCGTGATGCATCCCTGCAGGAACTTCAATCTCTCAAATTATCAGCCTGCCAGGATGTTACCCAACTGACCTTGGAAATATGGATGGATGATGAGTGAGGGGGAGGGTTGGGGACGGAGGATGATGTAATGATGTTTGGGATTACACTGCCTCACAGTCCAAACAGATAAACCCTACCGTCCGGACCTTAATTGACAAAATATCAGCTATGACAGTGTGCACACTGGACAGCTGCCTGACTGCTAACGCTGCTAAACCTGCCGGCCTGAGCAGGAAGCGGCAGTGGCACAGAAGGCTACTCTCCACGTCATTATTATCCCCAGTTTTTGGCGGTGCTGCCAGCCGCCTTTATTTCACAGAGACAAAAAAAAACAAAAAACAGAGCGAGTGGGTAAATCAGGTTATGACGCTGAATGCTGAAAGAGAGATGAGAGAGATTTGGGATGATAATGATCACATCTGTCCCTCAGTATCACAGAAAAATGGTCACAGAAACATGAACTACATACACCACATGTATGCGCACTAGAACACAAAGCCAGAGGGCTACACACATAGACACACAGCTGCAAATTCATTCAATAAAGCACAGTACAGTACAGACACTGATGCAACCACAGCCAAGCATTGGTTGAAGTCAGAAGTAAAAAGTAAATGCTATATGGGCGGCTGTGGTTCAGAGGTAGAGCGGGTCGTTCCTTAAGCGGAAGGTTGTGGGTTCGATCCCCGGCTCCTGGTGCCACATGTCGAAGCATCCTCGAGCAAGATACTGAACCCCAAATTGCTCCCGATGCTGTGCATCGGTGTGTGAGTGTGTATGAATGTTAGTTTCTGTTCGATGGACTTTGCCATCACTGAGTGAATGTGTGTGAAAGTGTAAAAGCACTTTGAGTGACTGGAAGACTAGAAAGGCGCTATACAAGTACAGGTCCATTTACCATATCCCGCATTTATATACAGTATGTTCATATATCAATCTATGAAACTGTTTATTGTGCTTTCATGAATAATAATAGTATAATTTAAAAAAAGATGCATAAGTCGATAGACAGAATATATTTTTGATAATTGATTGATCATTTGAGTCAGTTTTTCAACATTACTTTTTTTGGACTGCTGGCTGGACAAAAGAAGACATTGGAAGATGTCACCTTGGGTTTCCAGAGTATTGTAATATTCCTCTTTCACTATTTTCTGATATTATATAGACCAAGCTCTTCACTGTGTACTGAAAGCAACATGTTAGCAGCAGCAGCAGCTTCAATCCTGTGCCTGCTTTTACACAGGATGCATTCAGGCAAAAGTATTGAGCATAAATCACCTGTAGTGTTTCGGCAACGCTAGGAGCCTAACACACGAAATGCATAAGAAACCTGAGAAAATGCGAGCCACTACGCAGCCTGTTTAGGGATCTAGCTTGATTAAAATAGACGCAACATCGTCAAAATTAAACTGTAAAAGTGGGAAGATCTATATGTCAATATAAAATATATAAATGGGTGCAGGTCCATGCACCCATGCCTACACTGTATTATCCATTTATATAGCTCTCTGTTTTCTCTACATGCAGCTTTGGTGTACCTGGCGCGCAGACACACACACACACACACACACACACACACACACACACACACACACACACACACACACACACACACACACACACACACACACACACACACACACACACACACACACACACACACACACACACACAAAACCAAGCATCTATTGCATGAGAAAGTCAAGTAACTTTGGCAGGAGTTGCACCATCTTTTGGCAAAAATCTTTCTAAAGTTAAGAACAGTTCGAGCTCCTAGAGGAGAGCACATAATAAGAACAGCATTTTTATGTGACAGCTAATAAAGACAAGGGAGGGAGGTTTGCTGGAGGGGCAGATCATGACAACGATATGAATATGAATCAAAACTGAGCAGTAGAAAGGTTAGTATTTATGCACAGCGGCTGTATTGTACAGTTGCCTTTAAGTGAGATGGATTTTAGGACTGTTTGAAGATAATGGCTGCTGGTCATTATGGAAACACATTGTGCAATCCACAAAATGCGGCTGTGGGAGTGCTTTTTCTACAATAAAAGTAGAATGATGGAAGCGCAGCCATCAGCAGCCTAACTCTATTATCCCACTTCCTGAATCCTGCATCTATTAGACCTCTGTTAGGCTGCTGATAAGCATCACTGTCATCATCTAGCTGTGATATTTGACTTTGCCAGAACATTTTCAGTATTATCACCATGCCATCTACGCAGGAACTCTGCAGCAGTCACATGTCCAACATCAGCTGTTGTTGGAATCGAAGGCCACGAAATCAAACAAAATGAGCTGCTGCAGAAACCAATGGTTCACAGTTCGTGTGCTCCTGTAAGAGCTAAGTGAGGAAAAAAAAGTGAAATATTACAGCAAGTGCTGAGAGAATTGGACCCAAGGTTATAAAGTGCGAGCTCAGTCTGACTGCATCCAATAAATGTCACGCGCCATTCTCTGCTTTCCACTGTGGATTTGAAGTGCAGTGTTGTACATGAACGGTGTACAACCTGGATTGTAAACAACACATCTCGGAGGAACTACAATACTAACATAAGCTGCATCGTCTGTAGTTTTCTTGTAATTGGGTACAGAGGTGTTTTTCTGTCTTTCAGAGTCTTCAGGGGACCTTCTAAATGTCATGTTTAGCTCCCTAAGGAGATTATAATAGAATTTAAATTGGCTTGAAAATTGCATTCAAATGAAACGAGTTAGGAGGATGCATCAAGCACAAGATTTCCTGAAAATACCTGATTTCATTACTTGTATTTCCTTTTACCCAGAGGAGGCCAGTGTATGCTGCAGACACTTGTGACTGTCAATAAGTGGCTGTGGTATATGAATGCATTTCTTTATTTTAAGTACGTAAGAAGCCTGAAGCAGAATACATAAGTTACTGCACTATGAGGTACTCTGAGATACGCCTAAACACAGGCAGCTTTTTGAAGAACATGTCTGATTTATCAAAGCATAATTATTTCAAAAAAAAAACTTTTATATCAAAACATTACACAGACCCTGAATAGCTGAAAAAAAAAACCCACCTAAACCTGCTAAAGAATAAAATGAAGTTAAGAAACAGTTTAGTCTGTCACTTGAGAAAGTCAATGCCACAAACTGATGTCAGTATAATAATTAAATTAGCATCAAATAGATTCAGGCACTGACATTGGCTGCAGTGACAAAGCCAGGCCAGTTGTACAGTTATCATCTAAGCTTTCTTTTTTCATTTGAGAGATTAATAAACCTGATAAATCCATATGTAATTGTAGCATTCAGGATATAATTAGACCTCTTCACTTCCTGTCAACAACATTGACAATGTAAATGCAATATGCCACTAATTCATACAATCCACTGTTGCCCCTACAAAAACAGATTTAACCTCAATTATTTGCACTTTCCTTCTCCTTCCTGCTTCTTAATGTACTGTAGCAAATGAATTACTACTGCAATGAGTCACAGTCACAAGTTGATTTCAGGTGGTAATGAAAAGATTTTTTTATCGATTTTTGAGAGTAGATGTTCACATTTTTTGCCCCTATACGGAGAGATTGTCAGCTACAGTCGGGAACACGGGAGCTGGTGGCAATTTGTAAAAGAATGCTTCAATAATACAGATACCTGCGATAACCTTAGCTTGAAATAGTTAAACCTGAATAAATAAATATTTTAGAACCTCTTTTATAACTAATGTTTTCAGTCTTTATTTACCGAATATTTGAAGCTTTCAATAGTTTTTTGTATTGTTGATAAAATGAAATATGGCCACATGAAATGTTCAGTCGGCATCTACCTTATTTTTACTGCCATGTCATCAGCCTGTCAACCAGCACCATAGCTGCAAGAGCTTCAGCCTCAGACACAAGATCAAGGTCCTATATGCATACACATGCTAATGACATTCTCATGTCTGAAATCAGACAACCACATACACGTACACTGTAAAATGTGAACACACTGCATGATGCTCCCACCCATTCCTGACAAAGAGTATTTTTTTTTAGTAAGAAAAAGGTCATGCTCAAGGACGCTGATAATATATTATATACATCCAAAACATCAGCTTTGGTTCAAAGCCTGTCTTGATACAACTTTTTTTTTTTTTTTAGGCACAGCAGGTCCGTCAAGCTTTGGGTTTTTTAATATGCCGTAATTGTGTTAATGGGGCTGTAGTAAGGGAGATACAAGGCACTGGGCCCTGACAATAAGGATTGCCTGATTGCCCCAGGCGAGTAAAATGCCACAACGAGCTAGCAAATCTCGCTACTCACTTGTTCGATCGGACTAGTATTAAAAAAAGAATTAAACCCTTTTTTTTTAACAGAGCTGACAATGGAAGTGGCAGTACTGACCGGGCACTTGGCAGCGGGTAGAGACAAAGTTTATGAGCTTAAACACAACCGAGCATTTCTGTTTCCTGGAACAGGAGTCTATTTGGATGGCGTTAGAGGATGTGGGTGAAACTTCATCTATGTATTGCG